CACACACACACACACACACACACACACACACACACACACACACACACCCCCGAGGCTCAGAGGAGCTCATTCTGTCTGGAACTGGTAGGCACCCTCCCTGAAGGCCTTGGCTCCTGGCTCTGCCCAGCTCCACACCACATCCTCCTAAGCTCTCCCTCTGTCCTCAAGTGTCCTCCAACTCTGACTCCCCTGCCTTTCTCTCTAGCCTCTGGTGACTATTATCAGCCAGAGAATCTAGGATGATTCTATAGAAAATAAATCCTTGGGGTCCATTTTCAGCATAAGTTGCCTTTAGAACTCATCCATGAATCACAGTTAAGCAGGCGGCACTAGACCCCTCTTCCCTCTAGCGGCTGGTACCCGCTTGCCTGGGCACTCCTCAGTTGATCTTAAATTGAGAAATCTGCTGTGCGTGACTGAGCCCAGGATCAGTAAGGAGGAGGGCATCATAAGCCAGCAGGATTTGGGATGGGTACTGTCCTAGACAAGTAGAGGAGATTGTGCCTCTCTGAAGAGCTCAAGCAGTGAGATTTTAGGAGGCAAGGAAATGTGATCAGGAATATAAAATTATATTGTGCCAGATTAGGACTATAAAAGTCACCAGCTGTTTCTGCCCGTTTTTCTAGGCTCCTGCACAACCATAAACTAAACTATTTCACTTGTGCTCCTCCGAGACCCCAGGACTCTCATATGCTTCACACAGCTCCTCATCTGGGGCTCCTGATTCAATCACTGCAGAAGCGGTCCTTCTGCCCTGTGCCCTGACCTGCTGAGGACCTGCAACTAGCAAGGCTGGGCCATTCTCTCTTCTGGCGTTGGGCATATGGCCCTCGGGGGGGAAAGCTTTTTGGGGTGACAGCGGTGGGAAATGACATCATAACCTCAGGTATTGCTAGGGAAACCTGGAATTGGATAGGGAGGCGACAAGCTTGCGTCACTTACTGTTTCCTGGTCCTTGCTGGGTCCTTGGTGGAGCTGCTTGATGGCTGCTTGGGGCTCGGAACTTCTGTGTCTTCTGGACACGGACAGTGAAGTCTTGGGGGGGACTCCCGCGGTGGAGTGAAGCCCTGGATGTCTGGCTGCTTCTCCGCAGTTGCAAGGAACCTGGGCCTCGCTGAGCAAGCTGAGTGGGGGTTGGGACTGTAGTCAGCCCCGGAGCCACAGCACCAGGGGAGGCCTTTTGCATCTGCCCCTCAAGAGCAGCAAGCCTGGCCTCCTGGCTGTGGACTTGCTGTGACAGGCTGGCCAGCGCATCCTGTAGGGCCCTAAGGCCCAGGGTCAGGTTTGCTGTAGCCTCTCTCTGTGCCTTCTGCTCCCTTTCCTCCTCCACCCACTGCCTGCTGTTTGTGCTCAGGGAGAGGTTCAAGGCTTGAAGCTGGGCATCCACCTTCTTGCTCCTGCGCTGGTTCTTCCTAAACCAAGTTTTTAGGTGAGCCACATCCTCTTGTATGGCGGCTTGAGACTGGTTCACCGCTAGGGCTATGGCTTGGCTCTCTTCCACCAGGCTCTGGAAGCGGGCATCCACATTGTAGTACACGTTATAGTTGTTAGCAATGTCCTGCAGGTGTGTTAAGGTCACCTGTTGGAGTCTCTGAAACTGTAAAGAGAGCACAGCTATCACGGGGTTGGAGTGAAGCTATCCTAAGTGTACTTCAGAAGCAGTTATTTATTCTGCATGTAGCAAAGGCCCTGGGGCTGGAGAGATGGCTCAGTGGTTAAGAGCATTGCCTGCTCTTCCAAAGGTCCTGAGTTCAATTCCCGGCAACCACATGGTGGCTCACAACCATCTGTAATGAGGTCTGGTGCCCTCTTCTGGCCTGCAGACATACACACAGACAGAATATTGTATACATAATAAATAAGTATTTAAAAAAAAAAAAAAAAAAAAGCAAAGGCCCTGGATATAGACTGACCAATTTCATCCTTGTCCCCATGCTAGGACATGTGGGCGGATTATCATGACTAATCCCAAAGGGCCAGGTACAAAGGGGGTGACTGCCCTCAGGTGCCACAGCTGCATGGTGTAAGATGTGGGCTCCAGACTCACGGCCCTGGCTGCCATCTTTCCCTCTGGAAGATCACAGCCAGTTTTCTCACTGCCGTGGCCCCCAGGGTTACTCCTACGATCTGAGGGGACTGACGATGAGCTGTTGGTATGAGTGCATCTAACAATATTTTAGTTCTAGGCCAGTTTCATTTACAGAACAAGTTTCAGAACAGCCAGGATTACATGGAGAACCCTGTCATAAAAATAATTTAGATGTATGTATTTATCTATTTAATTTTATGTGTATGAGTGTTTTGCCTGCCTGCATGTACGTATGTATGTATGGATGTATACTATGTATGTAGTCAATGCCTTTGGAGACCCCCGGACCTGGAGTTATGAATGATTTTGAACCATCATGTGGGCGCTGAGAAGGAACCTGGGTCTTCTGGAAGTAGTTAGTGCTCTCTCCGGTTCCAAATGCCTTTGTTTATTATTTATTTATGATTTCACGGTTCTGGGAACCGAATCTAGGATTTTGCTCATTCTAGGCAAGGCTGCAGCACTCTGCCATTGAGCAACCTTAGCCTTTTAGAATTTTTGGGGGGGGGAGTGTTGGTTTTTTTCAAGATGATGTTTCTCTGTGTAATGGCCCTGGTTGTATTGGAACTCTACGTTTAGACCAGGCTGGCCTTGAACTCACAGAGATCTGCCTGCCCCTGCCTTCTGAATGCTAGGATTAAAAGAGTGTGCCACCACACCCGGCTCCGGCTCCTTTTCTGTTTTTTTTCTTGTTTGTTTTGAAGCAGAGCCTCACTCAGTAGCCCAGACTGGCTTAGAACTTACTACGTCACTCAAATTAGCCTCAAACTCACAGAAGATCTTACTTGGATCTTCTGAGCATTGGGATTGTGGGAAATTACCATGCCTGACTGTATCAGCATTACTATAGAAAGTGCTTGGGCTGGGGCACTGCCTACAGATCCAAGTGGGATCCTTGGGCAGGACATATGTCCTGCTTTGAGGTAAACCAGTGCTCTCACAACCCCCATACCTATGGACACTGCCCTGCACCGTTGCTACCCAGGCTTCTCCATCTATGCTTTCTGGGTCTCCTAGAGAGTCCTTTAAATTTCCTGCATCTTCCCAAACACATATTCTGTTTGGACTTTAGAGCAGAGCCTAGCAAATGCTTACCTGATTTCCAAAAACAGGTGAGATTATCGTCAGCTTCCAGCAAGGATAGCAAACCAACTGCCATATCCAGCGAACACAGATAGCAGCTCTCTGTGTAACATCATCGGCTACGTGCTACTGGCTTTATACAACCAACTGCCCAAGTGGTTTTCACCTACCTGCTCTTCTAGTCGACGGAGCCTCTCAAAAAATGGTTTTCTTTGCCTAACTGGGTCAGTTTCCTGCAACGGAGTTCCACGTGCATATATGGACACAAAAATAAGGAGGAAAGACAGGGTCTTCTTCAGGCAGCCCATTCTGGGAGACGGAGACACGGTCTGAGGTTGGTCCCTTGAGTCTGTCTCATACAGCTCACCCCTTGATGGTTTTTCTCTTTCTGTCCTGGCTGAGCGTCAGGTTCGTCCTGCCATCTTAATGAAAGGCATCTGACTTCTGTCCAATGGGCTCTGAGAACCCAAGGTTCCCAGGGAAACAAGGTTCAAACAGGCACAAACAGTTTCTTTGGATAAGTGGATGTGCTAGAGGCTTTGTCTGTCTGGCTCAGAGGCAGACAGGAGCTGATAATGACTCTAACAGGAGCACCTAGATTACAGTTCCCACCGAGAAGTCAAAGCGGGACGGGGCTTGAATGTGACCAGGAAGTTCTCAAAGCCAGGCCTGCTCTGGCGCCCAGCATTCCAACCTCGCACAGCCGTGTCCCATGAGTTCCCTTCTCATTCCCTTGGAAAAGAAATCCCTCGTGGTAATGTGACTGCGTTTCTCTTTAACTTATGTTTTTCTTCTAGAATGGGATAACTTAAAACTTAGCTATTGTTTTTCTTTCCAGGGAAAGGGTCTTGCTGGTCTTGAACGCCTGGGTTAAGTGATCCACCACAGTCTCAGTTAGGACTACAGCCATGTGACTACTCTCTCTCTCTCTCTCTCTCTCTCTCTCTCTCTCTCTCTCATACACACACACACACACACACACACACACACACACCACAAGTTGCACACATTTTGAATTAATGTGATATTTCAATAAATGTATTATATGCAATAATGCAATGTTGAAATCAAGCAAAATATTCCTGACTTTTCCTGACTGGCTTTTGGTTATAGACTTTGCAGGGGGATTAATGATGCCCCTGAGGAGATGAATCCAAGCTCTGACCCTGGGACCTGTGAATATAGCCTTATGGGGAAAAAACATCTAGGCATATCTTAAGAAGGGGTTACCTGGGCTGGAGAGATGGCTCAGAGGGTAAGAGCATTGCCTGCTCTTCCAAAAGTCCCGAGTTCAATCCCCAGCAACCATATGGTGGCTCACAACCATCTATAATGAGGTCTGGTGTCCTCTTCTGGTCTGCAGGCATACATGGAAGGAATGCTGTATACATAATAAATAAATAAATATTTAAAAAAAAGAGAAGGGTTTACCCTGGGTACCCAGACAGCCCTGCACTCAACAGCAAGTGTCCTGATAGAGACAGAGAGGAGCAGACACCACAGAGCAGGCCCAGTGAGGATGATGGCAGAGCTGAGAACAAAGCTGAGAACACGCCTGGAGCCCTAGCAGCCAGGGAAGACACAAGGCTTACGAGCAGCTTCTGAGGTAGCATGCCATCTTGGTTTCAGACTTTTAGCCTCCAGAGATGAGAGAATCTAATGTTCTGTTGTTTGAAGAATCCTAGTTTGTAGTAATAAAAATAACTCAGGAACGTGTTCCCCACAAAAGCACCCAGCACTTCCAAGATGACGTGAACCAGACTGCCATACCAGAGGATGAGCCATGGCCAAGGCGCCTTCAGAACACTGCCGGTGGAGAAAACCCGGAAGCATTGGGGAGAAACTGTGGCGGTGACTGAGACAGCTCCTAGGGGACCGCTGACCCTCTTAACATTTGTGCTGGGCCAAATGACTAAAACAATCAGAAAAAGAGGAGATAGTACAGCTAGCTCACGTAAACAGAGCAGAAGCAGAGAGAAAGATATTTTTCAGGTATGCAGAGGCTTGGGAACTACATCACCGCACCCTGCCGTTCCTGGGAAGCTGTTGAATGGTGCGCTTCAGGAGAATAGGTGGATAAAGGAACGAGGAAGTTGTGGTTTAGGGATGGAGTCCCAGAATGGTCTCTCACTGGGGTTATCACACCTCACCCTCCAGCCCCGGCTCTCTCCGGAGACATGGGTCTCCAGCCCCTCTGACCCCTACACTGTCTCACGTGGGTCCTGACGATTGTATTGGTGGTGGCTCCTTACTCCCTGCTCTCTGGGCTGATCCCTGCTCGTGTTAACCTTTATGATTTATGTATGTATTTATTCCGTGTGTGTATTTAACCACATGTGCATGTATAGAGACCAAACATTTAAGTCACATGCCTTCCTTGATGGTGCTCCATCTTATTCTTTTTGAAACAGAGTCCCCAGCCCTGATGTTGGGGTTACAGAGAGTTGTAGAGGACTGCCCTCCAAACCACTCTGTCACCGTCCACCTGGGCTGCTTTCATGGCTGGGCTCAATGACCGTTGGTGCTCCCTCACAGAGGAGGGGCAACCTGTTGTATGTAATTCTGCCAGTGTACCCAGGGTCTCAGAGAAAGGATAGAATATATAGGTCAGGAAGAATTAGGGAAGGGATGCTATCTACACAGGAGTCAACATCCAGGATGACTGCCAACCTTCCATTATGTCTGCTTTAAGGGTATCCATGCTCTTGCCTGTAACTCCTTACCCACTGCTCTGTAAGGAAGCCTAATAAACTCACTGAATCCCCAGAGTAGATCTGGTGGAATTGCACCTTGGTTTATCAATGGGACTGTAGAAGGAGGGGGTAGGTGTGGTCTGCATCTCCTCCAGGGAGGAATCTTGGCAATACAGATGCACACCTTTTCACTTGGCTTTTACGTGAATGCTGGGGATTTGAATTCAGAGCCTCATGTTTGTACATTAAGTACTTTGCCTAGTAAACCATCTCCCCAGCTCCCAGGACTAATCGTTTTTAAAATTTTCTTTTTACATTTATTTATCTCTCTCTCTCTCTCGCTCTCTCTCTTATTTATTTATTTATTTATTTATCTATTTATTTGAGACAGAGTTTCTCTGTGTATCCTGGACGGGCTGCCTGGAACTCATAGAATCTGTCTGCTTCGTCTCCTCAGTGCTGGGATTAAAGGGGTGCGCCTCCACCATTGGTCCACATTTCTTATTCTAAGCACTCTGTTACTCATTTTCTGTAAGTAAGCAAAGACACCAGGGTGCTAAGGCGACGTGACCCATTATTTAGCAGCTGTTGTACTTCCTTTGTTGTCCTCAATGCTTTGAGCAGGATTGTCAGTCACCAGCCCGCTGCACCGTGAGCACTGACTATCCAGAAAGCTCTGTTAGGGCCTTGAGAAAACCACAAAGTTGCTTCTGATTACTTAAACTCAGGAAGGTACAGTCTTGGGGCTTTTTGAAAGTTTGAACCAGGCTCTTACCACAAGGCTGAACGAATTCAACCTGCAACCATTTCCACCAAGTTGAGAAGGGAAATCCGTTCTCTGGTGGCCAACGGAGGAACTGCTGAGGCTGGTGCAAAGGTTGTGTTTGGAGGACGCGCCCCTTTGGGAAATCCGTCCCCTGGTGGCCAACGGAGGAACTGCTGAGGCTGGTGCAAAGATTGTGTTTGGAGGAAGCGCCCCTTTTAGGCTTTGAAAGCAGCTGCTCAGGTTCAACTTGGGAGAGACGATCCTGTGCTGCCTCCCTTTCTGTGGTAGATTTAGGTTCAGCAAACGTCTTCTCCTGAGACTTTGCTTGCCTACCGTCAGCCATGTGGGTTGAGCTGGTATCCTGAAGAAAGAAACAGCACAGAGGCAGTAGGCAGGCCAAGTTGCAAATGGGACAGGACAGCCAGTTTTGGGACAGCCGAAGAAGCAGTAGCTGAGGCATCGAGATGGAGCGGAGGACCGAGACTGAATGAGGAGAGATGACCAAACCAGATGCGAGAGGCTGCAGCCGTGGATGCCAGAAGAGTTCAAAGAGCCAAGAGGTCTCAAACCAAGGCCAAGAATCGGAACAGTGCTGTCATTAGGAGTTAAGGTCTTAAAAAAACAAAACAAAACAAACAAACAAATAACCGTAAAGCGATCAAAAGTCCCCACAATAATAGCCCAGGCCTGCCTGGTGAAAGCTACACTAGCCACAGGAAAGGGCTGAGAAACCCTAAACAAGAGCTAGAACACTTTTAGGGTTAAGGCACCCAATGCCTCCAGGCCTCTAACATTAGGGGAGCCACCTGTCACCCCTCACTGAGGGAAATAAAAGGTAGAATAAAAGGTAGACTTGAAGACCTTCTCTTTGAAGCTAAGTACAAGGAGAACCCTAAGAGAAACATACATAGATCCCCCTGGGAAGGGGAAATAGAAATATCTCCCGAGAAAATTGGAAGCATGGGGTGGGGGGAGAAGGAAAGGCAAAAGGCTAGAAGGAATAGAGAGGGGAGAGGGAAGGAGAACTTGAGGGAACAGGATGGTCGAGATGGGGGAAGGACAGAGACGGAGAGCAAGGAAAGAGATAATTTGATTGAGGGAGACATTATGGGGCTAGAAAGAGACCTGGCACTAGAGAAATTCCCAGGAATCCACAAGGATGACCCCAGCTAAGACCCCAAGCAATAGTAGAGAGGGTACCTGAACTGGCCTTCCCTGTTGTCTGATTCATGACTGTCTTAAATATCATCATAGAACCTACATCCAGCAACTGATGGAAACAAAGGCAGAGACCCACATTGGAGCACTGGACTGAGCTCCCGAAGTCCAGTTGAAGAGTGGGAGGAGTGAGAATATGAGCAAAGGGGTCAAGACCATGATGGGTTCACCCACTGAAACAACTTACCTGAGATAATGGGAGCCCACAAACTCTGACCTGACAGTGAGGGACCCATCATAGGACCAAACTAGGCCCTCTGAATGTGGGGGAAAGCTGAACAGTTAGGCAGACTAGGGGGCCACTGGCAGTGAGACCATGATTTATCCCTAGTGCGTGTATTGGCTATTTTGAGCCCATTCTTTTTAGAGGGATAATCTTGCTCAGCCTAGATATAGTGGGGAGGGCCTTGATCTTCCTTAAAGTAATGTGATAGGCTTTATTGACTCCCCATGGGAAGACTTACCCTCTCTGAGGAGTTGCTGGGGGGTGGGATTGGGGATCGGGGAAGGTGGAGGGGGCAGGAGGAAGAGAAGGAGTGGGTATTGGAATTGGTATGTAAAATGAGAAAAGATAGATTTTTTTAAAAAAAAAACTTCTCTTTGACTATCCACAGTTTTTATCTGTGTAGAGCAAACAGATAAAAAACAGGCTAGGTGATTAGCAACACCTCCCTGGGTTTTGGGAACCGAACCTGTGACCTCCGCAAGAGCAGCAAGTATTTTTAAGCTCTGAGATATCGCCCCAGGCCCCAGAAAGCGTTCTGAACTGCTGTGTCCCGAATGGGGACTTTAGTTCTCCATTTTCCTTCCCAGGAAGGGTAAATTTGCCTGATGCTGTTGAATGCGTACGTATTGCCCAGATTTCCACCCACACTCAGTCCCGCTGAAAGGTTGCTGCCTCAGCATA